ATTATTGAATATTATAGGTGTGTAAACTCAGCAAAATATTCTAAAAGAGTCCAGTAGCCCATAATAGCATTGGGTCTTCTGTTTAACTGGCAATGTCAGAAATTATTGACCTGAGTCCCTCACAGCTCAACTTAACAGCATGTCTTTATTTCCTATATTTCATCTTCATAGTTTTCTACTGGATGGTTAAGACCAAGGTAAAGCAGGACCTATGCAACAAGAGTTGTAGCTATGTGGCTTCTTTTGCTGTTAATTTCTAGTTTGCTTCCTCGGGATATGATAGAATGCAAAAGATTATTTCAACTCATTTTTGTTTTAATTTAAATATGCCTTGTGACCTAAGATATGTTATATTTTGGAAACACTTCCATGAACTCTTGTCAAGAATGTGTATTCTGATATTGTTGAATGAAACACTCGGTAATAACACTTGATATCTGATAATTCTCATTTGTTCAATGGAATGGCTCTTCTGATATTTCATTGTTGAGTTTTTGTTTGCTTGACCTACTTGTGAGAATAGAGTGTTAAAATCTTCTAAGATTGTATTGGTGTCTGTCACTTTATTTCAAGTGATTTGGATTTGTTTTATGAAATCTGGTACCTATTCAGTGCATAAATATTTATAATTATCTCTTGTTGAATTATTCCCTTTACATTTTGTAGTGACTTTCTTTCTTCTGATCAATTTTGGCATAAAGTTCACTTTGAGAATAAGATAGCTACTCCTGCTTGCTTTGGGGCTCAACTGCATAGGGTACTGTTTTCCATCCTTTCACTTTTGTCCTATGTGTTTCTTTGTGGATGAGGCGGTATCTCTTGTGCGCACCATGTACTGTAGCTGGGTTTTGCTTTTAGATCTAATTTGTTCATCTGTGTCTTTTGACTGAGAAGTTGAGTCCATGTATTATCAAATGCTATTACTAAAAAGCATTTGCTGATTCCTATACTATTTTTTCAGTGCTGATTCCTTTCTATTTTACTTTAACTACTTGCCCAGTTAAATATATCCTCTCCCTGGGGCCTTTGTTGATATTAGCCTCAATCTCTCTGTTTAGAATTCCCTCAAGTATATTCTCTAGTGCTGGCTTAGGAGACATGAATTTCTTAAAATTCTTCTTGTCATGGAACATTTTTATTTCTCTGTCAGTTTTAAGGATAATTGAAGGATATAGTAATTTTAGTATTTTTTGTTTATATTGTTTTGGCATTTAGTTGGTTTTTTTGGTTTATTATTATTATTATTATTATTATTATTATTATTTTAAATTTGGTGCAGCATCTACAGGGTCTCACTACCTATTTTCAGCCTCCCAAGAGCTGAGAAAACAGGCGCCCCCATGCCCAGTCTCAATTGCCATCTCAGCGTGCCCTGGGGGATGGGGCCATCATGGCACTCTGGGATCAAACCTGGCTGCTGCACTCTGTCTAAGCAGGCGCTTTAGTCCCCTGAACTATCTGGCCGGCCCTCTGGCATTTAGTTCTTTAATTCATCTGGAATGCCTATGAATGATGTAAGGATATATGCACACACATGTATGTGTATTCATACACACATATATACTTACAATAGATAACATACATTCATATATGTCCATATAAATTAGAAATTTTCAGTGAATTATTATAATTATATTATAGTTATTTTAGATGCTTTTAACATAAGCTAAATCCTCACACATACATATATAAATTTCTATATGATCCTATTAATTTTACTTATTCATTTTATTTCTATGCCAATATTAGTTTTTAATCAGTGCAGTTCTGTATCTCTAAATAAAAAACAGAAGCTGCCCCTTTATTATGTTTTTTGCCTCATATTCTTTTTTGTTTTGTTTTTGTCTTCTTGGGGGTTTTTGGGTTTTGTTGTTGTTGTTGTTCTCTTATTGTTTTGTTGTGTTTTCTTTTTATTTTTGAGATGAGATCTTGCCACGTAGTTTAGTTCTGCCCTTGAACTCACTATGTAGCCCAGGCTGGCCTTGAACTCAAAGTAACCCCCACTGCCTCAGCCTCCTACATCTGAGATTACAGGCGTGTGCCACCATGCTAGACCCCATATTGTTTCTTAGATTAATTGTAGAATCTATGGCCAGGGAGATGGCTCAGTAGAATAAGTGCTTGCCTGGCAAGCGTCAGGGCCTGAGTTCAATCCCTGGTTCCGCAAAAATATAAAAAAATAAAATAAAATAGTTTTAGAATCTGCTTGAGAAATTCTTTACCCAAAATTCAGTAGCATTTTGGTAGTATTTCAGTGTAATCATGAAATAAAACTAAATGGTTAATAATTCAATACATTCAATTATAAATGAAATGAAAGCTCGTATAAAAGAAATAATAATAAATGGGCTTAAAAGATTAAAAGTAACAAATAGGACAATATGCTATAACAAAGCAATAATATTGTTTTCTTTTTTTGCCCCTTTTTACAATTTTTCTAGGGCCGGCAAGATAGCTCAGTGGACTAAGTGCCTGCTTAGGCAAGGGCAGGGACCAGGGTTTGATCCCTGGCACCACATACTGTACCAGCCCTGTCCCCAGGGCACAGTGAGCCAGCCATGGAGACAGGGCATGTTGGTGCACACCTAGAATCCCAGCGCTGGGAAGGCTGAAAACAGGAGGATCACTAGGAGTCTGAGCTGCATAATGAGATCCTGTACCAAATACATAATAATAGTAAACCTTTTTCTAAATGGCAATCAGAAAACACAGTCATCAAGGGAATAATTATGAAAGTAGTTTATGCCCCAAGCAATGGATATCAAAGTTCTTATGCATCTGTAATGAACAACAAGCCCAGACAGTGACTTAAATCTCTTCATGGAAATTCCTGGAGAAAAACCAAAGTACTGTTTTACCAAGGGGATTTTCCTGTCATTCCCTTTGAACTGAGAGGGATGCAGTGCCAGAAGGGGAGCTGGACAGCCAACCACAGATGAATCTAATGTAAATTTCTTGGTTTAGATTTAAGGAAAAATAATTTGAAGTAATCAATATGAGTCCTTTGGGACGCAGTGCTAACAGACTGCCAGAATGCTGCTGCTGCTGCGGCTGCTGCTGCTGTTTTCATAATAGCCTGTGACATCTCAGGTTCACTTTCCTGGTATTAGGTTTTCCATGGTAATTTAGTGAGACAGTGTTTCCAACTGCCTTCTAAGAGCCCAGCATATGCATGACCTGCTGTGTTCTCAGTAAGCAGGATGTGCTTCTCTGTGTGTTCAGTTACCTAACAGACACAGGCTGGAACTTTTACTGGATACAGCTGGAATGCCACAAAATAAATAAATAAATGAATAAATAAACAAACACCTCTCAAATTCTGTCAAATCATGACCTAGTAATTCTGTTTGTTTCATAGCTTTGTGGGTTTCTTTTCATCAAATTCTACATAAAAAATTTTGTGGCTGGCTTTGAACTCCATATAAATGTTTAAATAAAAGACTATACTCCATTTTCATTAATTATGTTTTAACATTTCTCATAAAAATAAAATATCTATTAAATGTTAAACATTACTTTGAAATGCACTTTGCTTCATGTAGCCACAAATAACTATAAATGTATTTCTCTTTTCCTCAGACTAGAGTCCAAAAACTCATTACAAAAGTATGGAATATTTTTGAACCTCTTCTTTTTGGCTTAGTTGGATCAGAAGTATCTGTTTCTTCCCTTGAGTCAAATACTATTGGTAAGAATAATTAAAGCACAGAAGATAGAAGATTCAAAAATATGTAGGAAAACTATGAAACCTATTATTTTTATTTATAATATTTAAGTAGCTGTAAGAAATTTATTTTTAAACTCAATGTTAGACCAGCGAGATAGCTCAGTGGACTAAGCACCTGCTCAGGCAAGTGCAGGGACCCCATACAGTGTACCACATGCAGCATTTGCCACTGCCCCCCCCCCTCAGCTCGCTGAGCTGGCCACCAAGTCTCGGTGTGGTGGTACATGTATGTAATCCCAGCACTGGGCAGGCTGAAACAGGAGGATCACTACGAGCCTGAGCTGCATAGGGAGACTCTGTACCAATTTAAAAAAAAAAAAAAAAACCTCCATGTTAATACACTGTGTTAGCCTGGTGTGGTGGCGCATGCCTGTAATCCCAGCCCCTGAGAGGCTGAGGCAGGGGGATCCTTGTGTGAGACCAGCCTGAGCTACAAAGTGAGCTCAAGGCCCACCTGCACTGCATAGTGAAACCCTGTCTCATAAAGTTAATAACAAAACAAAAAACACCATGTTTGTTTTCTCTGTATGTGTATACTTGTTTATTTGACCAAAAGAAACCCTGAATGCCTTGCTGAGTGATCTAAGGAAAGAGATCAAGATTCTTTTCTGAGGGGAAATATTAAATAACATCAGATGCTTTCTGTTGTTTTTCTTTGAGTGTTTCTCCAAAGGTCTTATTAGTTCACAATTAAATAAATTAAATTCAGAAATCAGCAGTTCAGAACTGGGCATATGTCATGTCTCATTTTCACAGCATCCCCCTCCAAGATCATTATGTGCCAGCCTCAGTCATATCCGAATGCTTTATCATTGTCAGTTTTACTTTTTTTTTTTTTTTGCAGAACCAAGGATTAAACTCAGACCCTTGTGTTTGCCAGGGAAGCACTTATTCTACTGAGCCATCACCTCAGCCCCTACTTTTAAAAACACAGAGGCAAGGGCCAGCCAGCTAGCTCAGTGGATTAAAGTGCCTGCTTAGGCAGACTTAGGGACCAGGGTTCAATCCCCGATGTGCCATGCCGGCCCCGCCCCTGGGCTGTGCTGAGACCCTATTGAGGCTGGGCGCGGTTGCATGTGCCTGTAATCCCAGAGTTTGGGAAGGATCACTACAAGGAAAGATCACTACAGGAAGGATCACTACAAGTCCAACTTGTGTAGCGAGACCCTGTAGAAGCTATACTAAATACATTTTTAAAAAACCACACACAGAAGCAACAGCCTTAAAAAGCTTTGACGTGTTTTAGAAATCATATTTCTAGGCTTAAAGAACCACTTCTTCCTAAATACTTCATGCTTACACTTATTTTCTTCTGTTGTAGGCACTTGTGTCCTTACCGTGTGTTTGGCAGTACTTGTCCGAATTTTAGTCACATTTGCATTAATGTGTTTTGCTGGTTTTACTTTTAAGGAGAAAATATTTATTGCTCTATCATGGGTGCCCAAAGCAACAGTCCAGGTAAAAATATATTAAATTTTATTGTAATAATCTTAATTTTGGTGATTTTTTAAAAATTCTTAATGTAAATCCAACCAGGGACATAACACAGCCCAGCACCTGCCTGGCAAGTGCAAGATCCTGAATTTGATTCCCTGCACCAAAAAAAATATTATTCTAATCACAAAATGTGTGCTAATTAACCTTATTTTTTAAATGTTGCATTGATTTAACTATTGTTAAATCAATTGTTGTAACTATTTATTGAAAGTAATGTAATTTCTTAAGAATCTCAGTTTTAGAAGTAATCATTCTTTAAAATGTACTTTTAGTGACAAATATTTCAATTTGATGCAAATATTGTTTCTAATTTCCTAAAATATACAATGATGGTATATCTGAAAATTGGAACTGTATATTTTGGTAAACATATAGAGATAAATGTTAAGATTTTAAGACACATTTATTTTTAAACTGTACATTTATTAATCCTGTCAGTCATTCCACCACATGAATATATAAATGTTGTCTTTAATTATACTTTTCTTGTTGAGATAGGGTGTCCAATGTAGTACAAGCAGGTCTTGAACTCACACTGTGGCTTAGGCCAGCCTCATTCACACAGTGATCTTCCACCTCAGCCTCCTCAGGGCTGGGGTTACATGTATGTGCCACCATGCCTGGCTGTATATATTTATTTTTATGACTATTTGATTACTGACTAAATACCCCGAGATACTATAAGACAGTGGGCCTTGTTGTTTTGTTTTTTGTTTTGTTTCATTGTTTTCCCTAGCATTTGACACAGTGCCTGGCAGTCAAGCCTACAAAAGTGAATGGATGGGCTGACTGGGTGGTTAGATTAGATAGATGGGTGGGCAGATGGGTGGGTGGGTGGGTGGGTGGGTGAGTAGATGTAGTTTTGTTTTCTTCTCCCACTGAAAGATATTGCTACTGACTAGTAAACTAAACTGGCAGCATCACACCTTCATTTCTTAGAATTATTTTCTTCTTCACATTGCAAAACAGAAGCTTATGAATTTCCACACAGCAAAGTTCTCCATTATCGTGGTTAAAAAAGCAAGCTGATAGGATCACGCTGTGTGGTGTTTTTTTTTTTTTTTTTTTCCGGAACCGGGGATTGAACTCGGATCCTTGCATTTGCCAGTCAAGCGCTTATCCTACTGAGCCATCTCCCCAGCCCCACGCTGTCTGTTTTGAATACCATGTTACCTGCCTATAACCTTAGGCAGATTACTTCTTTGTCTCTTAGAGGCTTGTTTTTCTCATTTTGCAGCAAGGTCTATAATTATAGCTACTGCAGCACAATGTTGTAGGGATTAAATGAAAATAATCCACGTGCGGTGCTTACAACTGCTGTCTCATGAGGGTGCTCAGTGAACAAGGTTATTTTATGTTACTTTTGAGTAAATAAAAATGATGACTTTATTTTTAGCCTCTGTTGTAGGGAATAATAAATCTTCAAAGGAAATATCTACCTATCCTTCCTCCTTCCAACAATACACTTGCAATTTTGTTTTCTTATTCAGGTTTCTATTACACAGGAACAAAGAAACCTCGGAAAGAGGCCACATACTCACCAGGTCCTGTGGTATTTATTCTCTTTCTGCCTGGTCCTTTCCACTGAGTCCAGGCTATGTTGTCTTTGTGGAAAAGAGTATCAGGCTGGTTCCAGGGACTGGCAAAGCCATTTTTTTTTTTTTCCTTTAGTGCTGAGGATTAAATTCAGGGCCTTGTGTAGGCTAGGTAAACTACCACTGAGCTACAACTACAGTCCAAAATTATTTATGCAGTAAAATCATAACAGCTCAAAAGATGATAGTGCCCTACATATGAACTGAATCAGCAGATATTTTAAATTCAACATTTAATATATTCTTCATCTTTATTCTCTTCCTCCATCCTCTGCTCCTGACATAGAATTGGCTCTTTTTTAACTCCTCTACTTAGAAATACCAATAAAAATTAGAGTAGACAAATGAGACATAGTAAGGGGATAAGGAACTTAGTTCATAAATGTCAAGATTAATTTGCTCATCACATCCTGCTAAAGAAAGGACCCTAAATCTTAGGGTTCATGGTACTCATTTATCATCTAATAGGAGTTCCCAGAGAGGGTTTACAAGAGGGTTAATTGAGTTACTAAATGTCAGGCTTGAAGAACAGCACTGCCACATGAGGAGAGCTCTATAACTGCATAAATAGTATTATTAGAAGCATCATTATTACCATCGTTATCCCTTAAGAGTAATTTTTAATATGTTCTTACTTAAACCTTCTTCTAAATTGTAAGCCTTTGTAGTTTCTTCTGTTTCGTTTCTTTTCTCCCTAGCATCCTGTACTCTGGCTGGCTTGTGTTCAGGGAATAACAAGCTGTCATGTCTCTAGTCATTGATTTGGGATGTGGAAGCTGACCTTAAATTGAGGGCTCTCTTGCCTTTTCAGAGATAATAATTCTATCACCAGGCCATTATGGTCCAGATCTGAAAGGTCTCCCATATCTTGTCCCAAGCCCTTTCCCCTCCAGTTATCTCACTCCATCATTATTTCCCAGGTATTTTGTCACAGTGACAGAAAGCTTAACATGCTGTTGCTGTACTTTGCAACTCTGTATATATATTTGTATTTAGTCCCTAAAAATTTTAAGGCAATTTTTTGCCTAGATTAGTTAATATGAAGAAAGAATTAGCAAGGAATTTGTTTCATGTCATTAAAATAAATATGTAATAAAAGATAACTTGCAAAAACTCTTATGGGCTGGTGAGATGGCTCAGTGGTCTAAAGCACCTACTTAGAACAAGCTGTGCAAAGCACAGGGACCTCGGTTCAATCCCCCAGCACCACATGCCAGCCAGCCCCGCCGCCTGGTGGGCTGAGCTGGCCATGCGCGCGCGCACATACACACACATACACATAAATGAATAAATAAAATTTTAAAAAATATATATTAAAAAAAACTGTTATGACCGGGAGTGGTCATTCTAAAATGAAGACTTCAAAGGCATTCATTGCTTGGCAGTGGTGAGGAGTAGGTGAGGAGAAAGGAATGCAACCCCATCTGAATACCTACTGTGTGCCAGGTGTTCATTGCTTCTTGTATTAACCCTCACCACAGGCAGTTAAGTTAGGTAGTTCGTTGGTTTCACAAGTAATTAGGCTATAGAGCTTGAGTCACCTTTAAGCAATCACTCACCCAACTGTGATAAAAACAGAATTCAAACTAGGTGAGCCAGATTCCAGTCCTCTTGTGTTTGGTAACACACACACACACACACACACACACACACACACACACGTGCGCACACGCACAAACAATGGGCCAAGCAAGGAAGCCTAGAGACCAAGACCCCTCAGGGTTGTGCTGGGCCTTAAGCAGCTGACCTGCTTGTGCCCATAGAGCCACCAAGCAATGCCTATTCACTTGGAACTCTGAGGCCAGAGCAAGGCCAGCCCAGCCTGCAGGGACAGCCCTGCACCACTGTGCTAGTACTGGTTGCTTCCTCTAGGCCTGTCTGCTAGGAAGAAGCAGAACTCATGTGGGATTTCCACAGATTGCTCAGCACTTTTCGTCTTTGTCTAATACATGAATACTAGACTTTGCTTCTTTTAACAGGACCGTTTACTTTGACTCTATGTTACCTCTGATTAGCATTTTTCCTTCACCCCTCCTCCAACACAGGCTGTCCTAGGTCCCCTGGCTTTGGAGACAGCACGGCTCATGGCACCCCACTTGGTGCCATACTCGAAGGATGTGATGACAGTGGCGTTTTTAGCCATCCTGATCACAGCCCCAAATGGAGCCCTTTTCATCGGCATCCTGGGGCCCAGGATCCTCACACGCCACTCTAACCCGAGCAAGATGAAGCTGGACCTGCCAGGACTCAGGGGCCACTGAAGGTCATGGGCATATTGCACCTGCTGGTCTTAATGACTTCTCTTACAAGACAGGGAATGGTTACACGTGCACACAGGTTGTACCCAGGACCCAGGACTCACCACATTCCTGGCTTATCTGCAGGAATGTCGTCTGGTTTATTGCTTCCAAACTAGATTTGATAAAGCATTAAAAAAAAAAAATGCTCAGTGCTTCCATAGCTCAAGAACAAAGCAAATCTGTACATATATTAGGAAAGTTCAGTTAGGCTGAATTTGATGTCAAACCAAGCATAATAAAAATTAAATGAGCCAAATGATACAGAGAAACACACTTGACTATCGAACCTGGTAAGAAGCCTGAGTTTCCAAATGGGAGGAGGAGAACTCCCATCCCCTTAGTTCACGTCAAAAAATGATCCAAAAAAAAAAGAGTTGACAGGACTAAAGCAATCAACTTTAAATGGGTCAGCTAAAATTTTGAAGTTCTAGTTTTAGTGACTACCTGAGTGAATGTTAAGAAAAACAGCCAAAGTTAGCCTTATACTTCTCATGCAGTAAACTTAAAAGGAAGTCTGCTGAAACAGTTTTTAGATGAAAAATTATCTGTAGCTTTTATTTGCAGAAATAAAATCACAAATGGAAAAATATTGTATATTTTTGATTGGTATTTAAAATGGTATTTAAAATCTAGTATGAAGGGCAGACTACAGAAATGAAAGATTAATAGATGACTGCTAGTATGAGGGTTTCTTTTACTTAGCAATACAGAATTTTTCCTCAATGTAAAACTATCAAGTATGTCTTTACCCATTTTTCACTGTAAGGAATTTTTATCAAGATGAGATTATTATAGTGTATAATCCCAGCACTCAGGAGGCTGAGGCAGGAGGATCACTGCAGGTTTGAAGCCAACCTGAGTTGCATACCTGCTTATATTTCCTTGCCCAGTGATTGATGCTGTTCTTGAAAACAGAAGGATGTGCTTCCCTCAGCCATAATAAGGCTTTACAAACAAATTAAAGAATGTTTTACATTTTTGTATTCTGATGAAAATTCTTTTTCCCAGAGCCTGTAAGACATTGGTGTATTTTTATATTTTACTGTTTGGGCTGATTCTTGTTTTTAATTCAATAAGTAACCCAGGAAACATTATGTTTTCTAAATGACATTTGCTTAATACACAAAGTTCAATATTTCTTTTCCTTTTATAATTTATTTTATACTTGACAAATTACCCCATACTATTAGTCTTTTAGGATTAGATATTTATCTTCATAAAGCACAAGTTTTCTTTATGGTCCTGACACACTTTGAACAGTCGGCCATCTGTGGCACTGTTCTCTGCCTGCCAGCACACATGTGGGTTGTTGGGCCTGAGGCCCAGGTTGGATGCATCTGCTCAAATCTACATAACCCTGGATCCTGGGTGCAGGAAGGAGCTCCTTGTGTCCAGCAGAGCCAGCTACTCATGTCCATCAGAGCTTTGACCAGCAGGGTAGGAGCATGGATGGAATAAAAGGAAGTGCTCGTTCACCTACCATTTGTTTGTGCCCCTCACGAGGTGGCTGCCCCCATTGAGCAGCCAGTCCTGGTCTTGGTGTGGATGACGGGTCACTGCCCATAGCTTGTGGAGCCCTGTGATGCCACTGAGAGTGGGCTACAGAACCGGCTTGAACAGCAGCTGAGGGGACGGACCCTGTTGGTGTCATATGTCAGGACAGCTGTGTCCACAGGACTTCTGGTCTCCTAGATCTGCTGGAGCTTGCTGTCCAGGATAGCTGGGAGCTCAGTACCCAGCATGGTTAACATAAGGTCCTGCACTCTGGCAGCCTGGGAGGGCTCAGTATGAGCAGCCCTGGGAGGGCTGTGCACCTGTGCACCTCTCCCACACCCTTAGAAACCACAACCCCATTCTACAGGTCAGTTTTTCCCAAGCACCCTGTTCTTACACAGCCTTTTTACCAGCATCTTGCATTTCAGAAGGAGTGAAGGTCTGACGTGCATTCTTGGTTCTGCATTCTCTGCAGTGTCCAGTGCTCTGTACTATCAGGCACAGCAGAGCGCTCCCCACAGTGGGGCACTGTGCGTCTGCAGGTCAGGCATTGGGACTGCAACTGTGCATACCCCTGTGCAGCAGGCTTGTATGAACACCCAAGTCTCACCGGGCTGTACTCCTGTCCTCCCTGGGACACATCCACTCCAGTAGCCTCATAGGTGCTGTTCACTTAGGCTTGCATTTAGCAGGCAAGGTGGAATATCCTGAGCAGCAGTGCTCACCTGCCATCGGTGGAGAGGGATAACTTGAGTTTCCAGCCAACACTCCTGAATTCTCTGCTTTGGTCAGTGCCAGGCTTAGGGGCTGGATGTCACCAAGCCTGGGTATGGTTTTTTGTTTTTTTTTTTGTTTGTTTGTTTGTTTTTGTGTGTGTGTGTGTGTGTGTTTTTGTATTTTAGGGTAGGGTCTACAGGGTGTTCAGGATCTCACTACTAGATTGGACTCGTAGTGATCCGCCTATTTACAGCCTCCCAAGAACTGGGATTACAGGCACACTCCACCAGGCCCGGGGGATTGAACCCCTGACCACTATGCCTGCTTGCAGGTGCTTTAATTTGCTGGCAAGCCTGGGTATGGATGGCTGCTCCCTAAGGGGTGCTGCTCAACAGGCAGGAGGGGAACTTCCATCCCCGAAGGCCTGTCCTCCAGGTGGTGAGGGACTTGGCCAGCCCTTTTTATTTTGACTTCTTTCCCCTTCCCTTCTTAGCCTTCTCCTCCACCTCTCCCTCTGTTCCTCCTTTTCCTGCTCGTCCTCTTTCTTCTCTTCCTCTCCTTTTTCTTCCCTTCTTTTCCTCTTCCTCTTCTCTTTCACATCATCATGAGTTTGCTGTCCTTGCCAGACAGTGTGCTGGCAGGGCTGGCAGACAGATCCTGAGCTACACAGCCTTTTCTCTAGTACTAAAGTTGGCTGCCTCAAGGTGGTGTTGCAGTGACACAAAGCCAATGCTTTGTGAGGTATCTGCTCACATCTTTTGTCTCTCTTTAATTTGCTTGTTCATTGTCTTGCCATTTTGAGTTCTCTGAAAGTATATTTTGGATACCAGGGTACTCTCAGATGTGTGCTTTGAACAGGTTTCCTCCCAGCCTGCTAACTTCTCACTGGCAGTGCCTTTCACTGAGCAGAAGGGTTCGTTTTAGTAGCAGCCCCGTCTGTCAAATTGTTCCCTCACAGGTCATGCCTGTTGTATCTGAAAGGTCACCACCAAACCTAAAATTACCGTTTCCTTGCTGACTGTTGTAACATTGCATTTTACATTTGGGTCTTTGACTGCCATTGCTCATGGGTCAAAAATCAGTTGAATGCATTTGTGTGACTTTTTCTGGGCTTTCTATTCTATTCAGTTGATCAATTTTCCTATGTAATTCTTGGTTTTTTGTTGTTGTTTTTTTTTTAAGCCAAGGTCTTGCTATGTAGTTCAGGCCAGTCTTGAACTAACTATGAAGCCCAGGCTGGCCTCAGACTCACAGTGATCCTCCTGCCTCAGCCTCCCAAATGCTGAGATTATAGGCACGTACCACCATGCCTGGCTCTGTGTAATTTTTTAAAGTTCAAAGTGCTCAAAAAAGTAATTATGATACAAAAGCAATATTTCAGTATATTCTAGTGAATAAATCTCAAAGGCTTTTTTGCTGTAATGTAATGAATTAGTCATATATAACAGTATTTAAAATATTACTAGAATCAGAGCAATCAAAACTGGAAACATGATTTAGAAAAGAATGACAAAATTCCATATTTCAGATATAAGGCACATGGCCGAGGCTGTGCTCACAGAAATACTGATGGCCTTGGCAGTTTTACAAATAAACTGAAAATAACAATATATTGTGTCAAAAACTTCATATCTTCTTGATAACGGTGGCTTTTTTGTAAGTGTGGAAGTTGGGTAGTGTCCATCCTTCAATACTGCCCTTTCTCTTCAGGAATTTTGATCTCATCCCTTCCATAGAAACTTTTAGATATTTTTCAAACAAGGTCTTGCTATATAGTTCAGGCCAGTCTTGAACTAACTATGAAGCCCAGGCTAGCTTCAAAAAATATTTTAATATGTCTATATGAACTAAGTAACTGGCAGAGAGTATAGTTAAGACTCCACTGACTCTGTAGATCAAGTTGGAAAGAAGCTACATTGTAGTATTTAGCCCTCCAGTTCTTGAACATGCACTCTTTTTTATTTAGATGTCTTATAGCTTTTTATTAGTTGTGTAGTTTTTGTATTAATCATGTACATATATTATAAGAATAATACAGTGTATTTGGTGCTAATCTAGTGGGAGTTCTTTTTATTGTAGATGGGGAGACAGTTGACTTATGTTAATTTCATAGTCCACAGGCTTACAATAATCAGTTAGAAGTTCTATTATTCTTTGCTGATGATTTAAGATTTTGTACATAAAAAATGTATTCCTTTTTCCGTTTTCTCCTCTTTCAGGGTTTTGTTTTGTGTGTGTGTGTGTTCCCTAGGACTTCTAATACAACGTTCAACTCACCAAGCCCTACCCTAGCATTTCCATCACAAATAAGTTACTTCGTTAAGAGATGAAGAATGAGAATTCTTTTATTCTTTCAATAATTATTACCTGTCATTCCTCTGTAAAGAACAGCTTTCCTCTGGTTTTTACGAACTGTATTTCCTACATAAAATACAAGATAAATGCAATGTTCTTTAGCAACCAGTTTTCAGAGCTGCCAATGAACTTTATTCTCTTGCTTGTTCATACAGATAAATGCTTTCTTTTTCTTTGCTTGTTTTTCAAAATGTGTATACTTTAATCATTTAAAAATATTGTTTTTAGGGCCAGGGAGATAGCTCAGTAGAATAAGTACTTGCCTGGCAAGCACAAGATCCTGAGTTCAATCCCAGGTATTACAAAAAGAAACAAACAAAAAATATTATTTTTTTGGGCCAGCCTGATAGCTCAGCGGACTAAAGCACCTGCTTAGGCAGAGTGCAGCAGCCAGGGTTCAATCCCCAGCATGCTGTGCTGGCCCCGCCTGTGAGGCACGCCAAGATGGCAATGGAGACTGGGTGTAGTGGCACATACCTGTAATCCCAGCACTTGGGAGGCTGAAAACAGGATAATCACTGCGTCTGATCTATGTAGCGAGAACCTGCATACTCTGCAGAGCCTGTCCTAAATATAGAAAAAATAAATAAATAAAATAAAAACATTGTTTTTCAATAGGATAGTGAAGTGAGGTAGTCATATGGAAGTCACTGTTTAGTTTTATTGAAATATATGTTGCACGCGATATAATTTGCCCAGTTAAAGTATACAATTGAATGATATGTATATACTGTAATGGTTGAAATATGAAGCATCCTCAAAGACTCATTTATTGAAAGTTGATTCCCGGGCAGCAATGTTGAGAGGTGGGGCCCAGTGAAATGAGAGGATCATGACATTGCTAATGAAAAAAAATCAGAT